GTAAAGTCATAGAATACTTTTACAGAAAAACGCTCAAATTTGAGTGTATATTTGAAAGTAAATTCGCATAATTAAGTGTAAACACTCAATATTTGAATGTTTCTTTCATAAAAATTAATTTTATATTAGTTATTCTAATATTAGATTTGAAATGTTATCGTTGCAATATTATGTTTATTAATCATTTTTACCTCTTGAAGATGTAAGTAATTCAGTTTCCTGTGATGTATTCACATTTTTTAATTCGGATTTTACTGCCTTTATTCCAAAATTTTACAACTGCTATATCTCGAAAACTAAACATTTTAGAAAAAATGTTTTAGACAAAAGTTGTACAGTTTCAAGAGGAACATAGAATAACTATATCATGTTGTTTACAGATGATGTCACTTTCGAGATATTCATTGATCATTACTTTTCTTAAATGAAAACCCCATTTCTTTATTATATCTTCTTTTTTTATCAATTAATTTGAACAACTTTTATCTGAAACATTTTTTTATTTGCCTAATATTTTTTGAAATGTTTAAGGAAATCTTGGTAATTTTTTCAATATTTAACTTACGATATTTCGCTAACTATATGTTGAAAGAAAAAATAGTGTTAAATTTTTTTACTCTATTTACTCTTTTTTGTCTGGAACGTTTCTTAATATCTTTCATATTTTTCGAGATTTTTGCATGACTTATTTAAAATGGGATGTCCTGTATTATCCCCGAAATATTTTATTTATATTCCAATGTGATGTATAACGTTTAAAGTAGCAAATGACGTTTCAATGACGTTTCTAATGTCCATAAGACATAACAAAAACGTCATTTGACATCATCTTCTTACTTGAGATGGGATATATTGCAATACAATATTACAGTAATCTTTTAATGTTACATAGAAACGTAATAGATCATTCACTATTATTGTAATATTTCCACATCATATATAAACGTAATATAAACTTCTGTTTCTGGCGACGAAGAAGTGCGAGTAGTGAGTAACAGGGCGAGAATAGGACAAGGGTTGCAGTAGGAAGTAGTGAGAGTGGAGGAGAAAGGAAGGGTGTGGGAGGAAGCGGGAGGGAGTAGGGACGAGGGTGAGAAAGGACTGGAGGGAGGGTGGTGGAAGAAGGGGAACAGAAGAGTAAGAAGAGTGTGCAGGCTGTTGAGGTTAGGAAGCCGGAAAAGGGTGGATATTATAATATATAGACCACGCATTCGCAACGTTTCCTTTTTCTGCACATATTAGAAAGAGGTAGCATGCTTTCGTAGAGCAGTCTGTCTCTTTCTAACAATGCGTGGTGGGGTATTTGGCCCCTCCACTTGTTTAGAGTGGAGTGTTATGTCTCCAGTTCTTCTTCTTTTCGTGAAACAAAGCGTATGTAAACAAGACGATTGACATTAAAGATTATAAAACGTATTTACTCATAATAGTATAATCATAACATAAAAAGTATAATCGTAACACAATGAGTCTATATTGTTGTGTATGCCGCAGTAATGCATATAAAAGTGACAAACAGATTATTTCCTACCGGTATGTAATTATACCCATCGTCATATGTCCATATTCATCATTTTTCCATACAAAATCGTCATTTTTCCATATACGTGTATTTATATCAGACGTATTTTCTTCTTTTTGACTTTCACAATTCTCCTTTCTCTATATTCTTCTACTTCTGTTTCCCCTGTCACGGAAGACTGCTTTACTCCCACCACGCATCGTTAGAAAGCGATAGATTGCTCAACAAAAGCATGTTGTCTCTTTCGAATATAGAACGCCCCCTCCGCTGAACGCGCGGTCTATTTATTATACGTCTACGGGTGGATAGGGGAGAGAGACGGGTGGGTGCGAACTGGTGGCATAGTCGGGAACTAGGAGAGAGAAGCAGAAAATTTGAAGGGAAGTAAAGCGAAGGTGGAGGAAGAAGGGAAAAGTAAGAGGATGAAGGAAGAAGGAAAAGGAGGGGAGAGGTGAAGAGGAGGGGAAGAGGGAGGAGAATAGAGAGGAGAAAAGGAGAGGGAGGTTGACGAATGCAAAAAGGTTGAAGAGAGACAGCACGAGCAGCATAGGAAGTATGGGGAGTTATATAGATATGATGTAGGAGAGGAAAAGGAAGATAAGGGGAGAGGAAGAGGAAGATGAAGAGGAAAGAATAGGTAAAATGAATGTGAAGGTAGGAAGGCACAAGGAGGGGGATGGGAAGGGAGGAACAGGGAAATCAGAGGGGCAGGAGGGAGAAGGGAGAAAAGGAGGTTGGATAAGAGAGGAGGAAATGAAGGAAATGGTGTGGAAATTAATGGAAGAAGTGAGAGGATATAAAGAGGAGGTGAAGAGGGAGGGAGAGAAAAGAAATAGAGAGAACAGGGAACTAAGAGAGGAATTGAGGAAGGAGAGAGAAGAGAGAAGGAAGGAATGGGAGGAATGGAAGATAGAGAAAAGAGAGGGGGAGGAAAAAATAAAGAAAATGGAGGAAAGGATGCGGAGATGGTAGGAATGGGAGGAATGGGAGAGGGAGAGAATGAAGGAGGGAGGAATATGGGAGGAGGGGGGAAGAAGAATAAGGGAGTTGCAGATAAGGATTGATAAAAAGGAGAGGGAGGAAAGGAGAAAAATGTGGTGCCGCCCTAGGAGGCATAGTGGTGAGGAGGGTAAAGATGGGGTGAAAAGGGTAAAGGAGGGTGTTAAGGAGGTAAGGCGGAGAATGAAGTTGGAGGTAGAAATGAGGGAAGTGAAAAGGCTAGGGAAAGGGCAGAAAGAAGGGGAGGGGATCAGTATTGGTGAAGTTAAGCAGCTTGGAGGAAAAAAGGAAAGTGATGGAGGCGAAGAAGAAGCTGAGAGGGAGGAGGGAAAGGATAGAGGATGATTTAACAGTGGAGGAGAGAAAGACGAAGTGGAGGATAGAAAGAAAGGCGAAGGCAGAAAGAAGAAGGGGCAGGAGAATACAAGTGGGATATATGAAGATGTGGGTGGACGGGAAGATACAGAGATGGGATGAAGTTGGGGAAAAGTGGTGGGAGATGAAGGGAAACTAAAATGGGGTGAGGTAGAGGGAGTGAAGGAGCCGGGGGAGAGGGGGGAGGAGGAAGGAGAAAGAGGGGAAGGGGAAAGAGGGAAGAGGTGGTATTTTGGAATGTGGCGGGGCTGGGGAAAGATAGGGAATTCTGGGGGAGATCTGAAAGGATGGGATATAATGGTGCTGTCGGAGACGTGGATAGATGAGAGGGGTTGGGGAAAAGTGAAAAAAGAGTTACCGAAAGGATTCAGATGGGAATGTCAGGGAGCGAAGAGAAGGAGCAGGAAAGGAAAGGTAATAGGGGGAATGGTGATAGGAGTGAGAGAAGGGATGGAGGTGAGGAGGGAGGAGGAGGAGGAATAGGTAGAGGGGATAATGGTAAGGAAGATGAGAATAGCGAGGGAGTGGTGGGGAGTAATAGGGATATACATGAATGTGAATATGGAGGAAAAGTTAAAGCAGATGAAGAAGTGGGTGGAGGAAAGAGGGGGGAAGGGAGGACGGTAGTTGGGGGGGATCGGAATGCGAGAACAGGGTGAGAGGGAGGAGAAGCAGTAGGAGGGGGGAGGAGGAGAGAGAAGAGGAGGGGAGCAAGGAATCCAAGGATGGGAAGGTGTGCAAGAACGGAAGAAAGCTATGTGAATTTCTGGGACAGAAAGAGGGTGGATATTAAATGAGAATACGAAGAGGGATGAGAAGGGGGAATGGACGTTTACAGGGGGAGGGGGGCGTCAGTGATAGACGTGATGGGAAATGGAGAGACGATGGAAAGGGTGGAGATGATGGAAGTGGGAGAGAGTATGGAGTCAGATCATCAACCGGTAGTAGTGTGGATAAGAGGGAGAAGGGGAAGAAAGGAGGAAGGAAGAGAAAGGAAGATAAGGAGGGGAGGGGGGGAGTAGGTGGTCAAAGAAGGAATTAAAAGGGTTTGGAGAGGAATTCAGGAGAAGGGGGAGAAGGGAGGAGAGAGTACAAGGGGAATGGAGGAGATTAGAGGAAGGAATAAGAGAAACGTTGAGGGGGGTGAAGGGGGAGGAGAAAAAGAAGGAGGAAAGGTGGTGGTGGGATGAAGAGTGTAGAGAGGCGAAGAAGAGACTGAGGGGGGAGCTGAAGGAATGGAGGAAAAGGGGAGGAGTTGGAGAAAAATATAGGAAAGAGAGGTTAAGGTATAAGAGGGTATGTGAGGAGAAAAAGAGGGAACAAAGAGAGAGGTGGGTAAAAGAGTTAGAGGAGGTGAGGACAGAACAACAGATATGGGAGATGCTAAATAGGGAAAGGAGGAGGAGAAGGGGGGTGAATGAGGAGATTGAAATGAAGGAGTGGGAGGACTATTTTAGGAGAATATTAGGGGGAGTGGAGGGAAGGGTAAGGAGGGAGGTAAACAGGAGAGGGGAAGAGAATGGGGAGGAAAGGGTAGAGTAGAAGGAGATAAAGAAAGCGGTGAAAGGATTGAAAGATGGAAATGCAGCAGGAGGAGATGGAATCCCAAGTGAGGTATGGACCCAGATAGCCAAACCTGAGCGAACAAATTCCGCGCGAGAGTTGACACCAAGTGTTGATGGCAAATAGGCAACAAATTTGCAACAAACTTTATGTTATCAAATTCTACTGGCAAATTGCCACCAAATGTGCAACAAGGCTTGGTGCGGAGCATCTTGCAGTAAATTTGCGACAAAAACCGCGCAAGTTTTGCAGCGCATAACTTAGCACCAAATAGGCACCAAACACTAAGCAACACTTGCGCACAAGACACGAGAGCAAATTGGCAGCAAATCCGCAGCAAGCCTTGCACTCAATCAGCTGATCGAGATGGTTGCGATGTATGTTGGATTTTATACGGTTCCTAACCTGTATATTGATAAATTTTAATTGCAATTTTGCATTTAAAAAGAGAAAGGTGTATATAGAAATAAATATTTGACAAAACAGACTGTATAATTTATTATACAAACATATATACATATAAGACCACGATATTCGTAATTATCGCTATTTACATGTAAACGAAAGGCGAGAAATGAAATATATGCGGTGGGACATTAACTTGTGCATTCGTTGCAACTGATGATTCATCTCGTCCATCTCTTTCTGAAGACTGCAAAGTGGAAGTGGTATTTTAAAAGGATATCTCACGTATCATTTCCACACTTGGGTGAAAAGGTAAATATCTATAATTATGTTTTATATTGTAGATACTGTCAAAGCATTTCTTGAGAAGAACAAAGTAGGAAAATATAATGAAGAAGATATGAGAAAAAGAGTAGAAACGAAAAAAAAAGAAGAGAAAAAACGTGAGGAGGTAGAAGAACATTTAATCAGTCTATGTAAAATTGGAGATCGCTGTGAGGTATCTGTTCCAAATCAACGAAATCGAAGACCTACAGTTTTATATGTTAGTCAGCAGAAAATTATTATTTATAAAATAATCTTATACCAATAAAATTCATCTTTGTTTGAATCATGTATCCTGATTCTATATAAATATTTTATAATTATAGGTAAAATTGAATTTAACGCTCCGTTGGCTCCGCTATGGAGATATCCATCATTTATTTCGTAACTCCGGTGGCTCCGCTGTGGAGTCATTCTAGTATTAACATCAATACCTCTAGTTGCTTTTTGAAATTACAAGCATTTGTAATTTTTCCCGTTCAAAATAAAATTTCTCTTTCCCAGACGCTTCACTGCAAAAGTGCTGCCGGAGTTGCCAGAGTAGACAGTGATAAGAAAACGCGCGGAGTGCAAAGGATTAAAGATGACTGGTGGACTGGTCTTAAGTACAATGAAACTCTTGGCAAAAATGATGGAAGGTACAAGCATATATTTAATACCTCCTTATACTATACTAATACATATCTCTTTCTTACTTAATTTAATTTGTGCTTATTATGTTTTCATTAGGTCGGGTCTACAATAGGTGTAACAAGCTTTTAGCTATTTGGTCTAAGCTTTACCAATCACTTCCCATTTCATTTCCTTTATGTTGTGATTTTTATAATATTTATTATCTTTTGCATACAAACAGGGATTTGCTTGTATAATTGTTATTAAAACTTCGTTATCACCCAAGTACAACAAAAAATCATGATGATATCAAAATGACAAGAAATGACCGAATCATGATGAGAAAAAGAGTTTTTCTCATCATTTTGATGTCATTTTGATGTCATCGTGATTTTCTGTTCTACCTGAGCAGTGTCAGCAACATATTCTTCGTTGTCGGACATTTTGCCAAACCAGATCGAAACGTGCGTGAAAACGTGTACATGTGCCTAAATAATTTTTCTTATTGGCTTATCTTATTTATTACTGAGAGAAATCGGCCTTAAGCTTTAATTCCTAACTTCAAAAGTTTGGATCTACCCAATTTTACTGCCAGCGCTGAAAATTTATAGTTTACGTGACACAAACTATATATTTTCAGTATTGGCAGTGAATATCAGAACATAGCCTATATTGTTGCCTATGTTATTGCATTTTGAATAAGGTAAGTTTTGGAAACATCCCACGTTAGTTATGCACATTGTTCGAGCGTATACTCTTAAATAATTTTGTTACAGAAGTTGGTTAATATGGCCAATATAGTAAATATTATTGGTACTGATATGCTTACTGAAGCAGAAAGACATGTACAAAGAAATGGGAGACATTTCCGAACCCGAGAAGTTCCATTTGAACTTCCAGAAAACCAATTCATAAAATTATTTCGATTAACTACAAGACAGGCTGACAATATTATTGATATCGTAGAGCAATACCATCATCCAAAAAGATCTTCAGCATTAGATGCATCTGTGGAAGTAAGTTACTTGCTTCCATATCTATCAATATTATATCTGCTTTTTGTATCCATCTCTATTAATCGTCATGTGGAGAAAAATTCCCGCTCTTGTTATTGCTTTTTCTCTATTGGTTAAGAGTCTCCTGACAGTAGCGACAACACCGCTCTCGAGTTGCATGCGACAATTGTCACAGGTGACAATTGTCGCATGCGACATATCTCGTACGCTTTCAAGTGGTCTGTTTTTAGCTGCACTACTGAACTGGTGCAATAAGTTAAAGTGAGAAAAAATATAGTTGTCTCATTCTAACTTATTGCACTAGTTCCGCAGTGACTGCAGTGCAACTGAAAAGAACAGACCAAATAATTGAGTCCCAGAATTTTGTTGTCCACGTAGCATACAGAGAGGAGTGACACGTAGGAGTAAATAATTTACACATAAATGGATTCCGAGAATTACACGGTGGAACTGATATGTCAGGATATTGTGAAGGATCATCTTCAAGTGAACGCTTTAATACAAGTAAATATATGTATATATATGTGTGATTCTATCTCATAAACTATGAGATACACAGTCTGTCCCAGATCCAATGAGACTGGTCTAAAAAAAATACAAAGCGTTTATTATTTTGATTTTTTATTCTTGTTTATTCAAAATAGTATCCTTCTGAGTCAATACAGCGCTGGAAACGTACAACAAATTTTTCGAAACATTTTTTATATTCATCGGCTGGAATGGCCTTTAGTATGGCGGTCAAAGTCTTTTGGATGACCGGGATGGTATCGAAAGGATTTCCTTTCATCGCCAATTTCAGTTTGGGAAATAGCCAGAAGTCGCACGGAGCCAAATCAGGTGAATACGGTGGATGATCGATAACAATGATGCCTTTTTTTGTCAAGAATTCACGTACCATGATGACTTTGTGCGATGGTGCATTATCGTGCAACAAAAACCAACTGCCTGGCTCTCGATATTCCAGTCGAACTCGTCGAATTCTGGCCCACAATCGTTGTAGAACTCCCAGATAATATTCTGCGTTCACCGTCCGACCTTCTGGGACGAATTCACTGTGAACAATTCCCTTTGAATCGAAGAAAACGGTCAGCATTGTCTTGATTTTGCTCTTCTGAAAGCGTAATTTTTTCTCTTTTGGCTCTTCTGGTGACTTCCATGCCGCACTCTGACGTTTTGTTTTTGGCTCGTATTGAAAACACCACGTTTCATCACTAGTTACAATGGCTGACATGCTTGCCGGATTCCTTCGGGACATTTTTAACATGTCTTTGCAATGCTGAACTCTCCAATCTTTTTGGTCGTCTGTCAGAGTGTGTGGCACGAAGCGCGCACAGACCTTCCGTTTGCCCAAATCTTCGTTCAAAATTCGATAGACTGCGCTTTTCGGTATCCCAGTTTCCTCTTCGATGAGTCTCGCAGACACACAGCGGTCGCTTCGAAGAATTTCTTTGACTTTCTCGATGTTTTCTTCATTGCGAGTGGTTTTTGGCGGCGGTGCTCAGTCATCGTCTGCAAGGTCCTCACGACTGTCACGGAATCGGCCAAACCAACGGAAAACCTGTGCACGGGACATGCATTCATCCCTGTACACATTTTTTTAGCGTTTCGTACGTTACTGCACCACTTTTACCCAATTTAAAACAGAATTTAATATTCGCTCTTTGTTCCATGTTAGTTTTTCGACCGACGTACATAAAGTGACTTTACATAAAATGTCAAACCACAGTGAAATATCAACCGAATTCGCTCAAATTTTGAGGTTAAGTAGATGAAGGGTAGAATATTCACCTACCATCATTCACTCATAGATGTCGCTGCGCTAAGAACTTTGATGGAACCAGTCTCATCGTATCTGGGACAGATTGTATATAATCTCAATCTCAACTTTAGATTAACATCAATTCTGGAAAAAGAAGAAGGAAAGAAGAAGAGAAATTTAACATTATGTTTTACAATAATAAATAGTAGGATCATGTTTACAATAATAAATAATATGTTAGGAATTATATTATAATAAGCCAAATAACAAATCACCATGTATTTTCTGTGAAGGATATATAACAATGCACTGGGTTGTAGAAAGCGTTAGACGAACTCAATGCCGAAGGTAGGACCAAAATTGTAGTGTTAGAATCCTCCATGGAGTGATTAGCGTCTGTCGCTGAAACTGAACCAAATGAGAAGAAGAAGACAGTTGTTTTCCATTGTTGAGAGCTATAAGGAGCAATTAAATGTGTTCTTGGCGGTTTTTCGCAAGGCTAATGTCGTTAGTACTTGTGTCATAGATAAATTAGTTTGGGAGAATCTGCTCTCTCTGCCAGAGGAGCGGCAAAATGCTCTTCGTAAACGACGAGACAAACAAAGTTTGACAGATTCTTCTAGCCAAATCACAGACAAATTATTCAGCATCGTAAGGCATCTAGCTAAGACAACTCAGAGAAGTGCTGATATATTGGACATATTGTGTACGTACTATATTTTTGAATCATTTCATAAAAATATGGAATTTATTATATATCTATCATGCAGAATGAAGCAGTAACTATTATCTTATCTTGAATATCTTGAATATATGAGATATGAGAATAGAAAAATATTTAACAGAAAATATATGGTACTGAAACAATTGTCTTATAGTAATAAAGTTTTATTTTCTAAGTAAACTAAGCTTTAAAAATCTAAATCCTTTATCGTTTTTTCCTAAATTATTTTTTAAATAAAATGTTTTAATGTAATAAAATTTATTAAAATGTTTTTTTGTATCATAACTGATTTTGAATCGTTCTTTATTATAGGTTGTTATATTTCTTCTAATAACTGTTATCGAAAAATAAATTCAGAAACAGCATTCGATTAAAAAAAACAAAGATGACCTTCAAATCTTAGGAATCACCTGAAAAAAAGCGTTACCACCGCAAGGATTACTTCTGCACCATGTAATTTCTCTTTGTTAGATAAATTATTATTTATTATTATCGCCTCACTATATATTGTCTGTTTAAGAATAACTATTACGATTCTACCGATTTTGCTGTTTTGTTTCAGTAACATCCTCTGACAAAGTTGATAACGCGAGAAACGAGCTGGAGCATCAACAGTAAGTAATAGTGCAATCGGGAAAGCTCTTAGGAAAATATGGTAAATGCGAAGTCACCGATAAAGTATTACTTGCACTGGCCTTCGCGTTCTTCCTCGCCTGCGTGTTTTACATTTCACAAAAGAGACTGTTCTGAAAGCCCTTTGTATGTGATATTAATGAAATGGACTGATCATTTACGGTGATATCACGACTGTAACATATTGCGCAGGAATTCTCACGATAAATGACATAGAGAATGTATGTACTATAAGGTGTGGTAAAAAGAAATCCATTATTTTTGCATGAAATTGAAGGCTTTAATTACCATAGTTAGAGTGATCCGATTTAGGTCAAATATGCGCCGTTTTGTTCGATAACTTGTTGCCATTTTGAAGGTAATTTCATTATGCCTCTCTCATAGAAGCCCTCGACCCTATTGGCAAAAAATTGAGACAGTCGATTTTCACAAGCCTCTCTTGAAGCGAATTTTTCACCAGCAAAATTGTTCGCCATGGACAGGAACAGATGGTAATCACTTGGTGCCAGGTCCGGACTATAAGGTGGATGCATAAGAACCTCCCAACCAAGCTCCCGGAGCTTCTGGCGAGTCACTATCGATGTGTGTGGCCTGGCGTTGTCCTGATGGAACACAATTCCTCTCCTATTGGCCAAAGCTGGCCGCTTCTGGGCGATTGCTTCCTTCAGACGGTTCAATTGTTGACAGTACAGTTCCGAGTTAAGAGTTTTGCCGTAGGGGAGTAGCTCATAATAGATAATTCCCTGCCAATCCCACCAAACACACAGCAAAACCTTCCTGGCCGTCAATCCTGGCTTGGCCACCGTTTCCGCCGGCTCACCGCGATTCGACCACGACTGTTTTCGCTTGACGTTGTCGTAAGTCATCCACTTTTCATCACCAGTGACCAACCGCTTCAGAAATGGGTCGATTTTTGTTGCGATTCAGCATCGATTCGCAGATGGAAATTCGATCCATGAGGTTTTTTTTCGTTAACTCGTGTGGCACCCATATATCGAGCTTCTTTTTGTATCCAGCCTTATTCAAATGGTTCCAAACGGTTTTTTGTGCAATCTTTAGCTCTTGGGCAATCGAAACAGTGCTTACATGACAGTCGAACTCGACAATATCCATGATTTCATCGATATTTTCGACAATTGGCCTTCCAGTGCGTGGTGCATCTTTGACATCGAAATTACCGGAACGGAATCGACGAAACCAAAATTGCGCGTGATTGGCTGTTACAGTATCAGGACCATAAACACTATTCACATTTTCAGCCGCCTGGCTTGCGTTTTCCCCTTTATCGAAGAAAAACTGTAAAATATAGCGTATTTTCTCTTTGCTAGTGTCCATCTTTGACGCGCGCTCAAATAAAACTGAGTCAACTAATCACAAAACTGTCAAAAAAGTTTTTTTAGTACGAAATCTCACCTTTCTAACGCCATCTAGTGGAACCCGATCGGACTTATACAACGCGAGATACAGATAACTAAAGCCATCTATTGGAAAAATAATGGATTTCTTTTTACTACACCTGATATTTAAGAGGAGAAATCGGGTGAGATTTTACAAATTGTAACGAGGCGCAGATGCACCTCGTTACTACCAGCCCGACCGACCACCTGTCGGGCCGAAGAACGGCGCTTTACGCCACCCTAAAAAACTCGAAGTCGATCGCACCGCCGTTATCACGAGCCGCCGCTATCGCGCGCCGCGGCGATCACGCGCTGCCGCTAGCGCGCGCGGCCGCGATCACGCGCCGTCACCGTGCCTCGCGCCGATAGGCACGCCGCTCGATCGCCGCCGTATCAATCGTAGCGCGAACAACTATAAAACGGCGGCGATCGAGCTCCTAGTCACCAGACCGATCCGTACCGCCGTTCTAGCTAGACGCCCTATGCCAACAGCAAGAAGGACCGTTTCGCTCTGCCTTCCGCTTTCCGACTACCCGACCGGCGACTAAGAACACGGGATTGTGCGTCCGCAGTCTCGATCGAGCGTTCTCGATACTTGGCCGTCTCCCGTTTTCCTGGGCTCGTGTGTACGCGTGCTCAGTCGAGCGTACTCGACAGTCTATCACCGTTACCCGCCGCCTTGAGCCAGGGGTTCGCCCGTCGGCGAACTCCGCTGAGCGTACTCGGCCTTTAGGCGATCCGTCTAGCGACCAAGAACCCGGGACGGTGTGTCCGCCGTCTCCGCTGAGTGTCCGCAGCACTTTGGTCGCTTTCCTCCACGAACGTAGGGAAAAGGGAAGGTGCGTACGCCTTCTCTGTCGAGAGTCCTCGGCCCCGACGGACGAAATTATCTCGCGTCTCCCGCGACTCGCGTGCGTGCGCTCGACCGAGAATCGAAATCTCCGGTCCGGCGACCATTTTTACGCGAGCAATTCCGAAGCGAGTATTGGGCGATAATTGTCCGAGACGCCCAGCGTCGCGAAGCGAGACCGATCACCGCGCCGTTACCGTCGTTACGGTCTACACGCGTCGCGCAATAGGCCCCGCCTTCCGCACGGCCTATCCGTTCGTACGAGCACTCGCACCGCTCACCGCACCGCACCGTACCGTACCGACGCGCCTTATAAACGCAACCCGCGACATCGTCTTCGGGGCCGAACTCTTGTACCAAATTAAGTATAGAATAAAGCTAACGTACTTATATTATTCTCGAACGTCTCGCTGCTTTCCTCCTCACCGAACCCGGACTCCGACGAGCCTTATCCGCGCGAAACGCGTAGCAGCGACCGAACCGCGGAGTTCGGCCGTTACAAAGTATTTTAATGACTTTACGCGTGTGTGGATAAATTTCTCGTTAATCTCTGAAGGACGTTTTCATTCGGTCACCAAATCTTATGAAATAAACTCAACTGGTTGTACATAATGGTATCCTGTAAGAAGATAAAATATTTATTAAATTTCAAAATGTATACACGTTTCTATTATTCATTATCACTAAAATAACGATGTCGTATCGCGAGACGCTATGGAAACTAATTGCTCGTACATTTTTACAACCGCTTATGAATTCCTTCCTGGTGACTATTCCGTCTCTGTCTACGTCCATCTTCTTGAAGAACTTGTCCACTTGGATGTTAACTGCGGGCTGGATAGTCTGCGCGTCCTGCACCATCTCATAAATCGCGAATATTATGACCAACATTTCTCGCTTCGTGATACAACCTTCTCCATAAAAATCGTAGAATCTGATGAAAAGTAGGTCCAGAGAATATTTCGCATGTTATGATCTTCGAGGTTATTGACTTCAATAAGTATTAGTGATCAAATATTTAATAAATATCCAATAATCAAGTAAAATTTCTATTGCGACTAATATTAATTTAATAAATATTAATTACATTTTTAAATGTCACTTTTTAACTTTGAGTATTATTCCGAGGAAAAATGATTATATATGTAAATTTTCTCTGCACAGCCATCATTAAACAGCAAGAAAAAAGTATAAAGTGGTCAGTCTGTGCCCGAAGAAGTTACAGAAAATCAAACCGAACTTCTTAACTGACACGAAATAAAAATCTTTCAGGTTGCGCTCGAAAATGAACCTGGAATCAGACAGTCCGTTACTAATAGCGATTACTGCTCACCCAAATATCCAAGAGAGCTGATCGACCATGCCGTTCACGATCGATGCTGTGGCATCCAGAAGATCGCTGAAGCTGACGAAACCGTCACCATCCTTATCGAAACTGTAGAAGACGATTTGCGTGCATCTGGTTGGGTCGGCCAATGGGAACAGTTTTTGGCGTATGCGGGTTTCAAATCGCCAGGCGTCACACTGTTTACGCAGTATCTCCGCCGGCGGACCGAATCGTCGTCAGTCGCGAAAAGACGGGACTCTTAGCTGAAAGTATTTGAGCGAACGTTAATTCAGAACGCGATGTCGTGAACTTCTCGCGAAGAAATGAGAAAGAGATCTTTCCTTCTAAGTATTCTCTTGATGCGTGAAAAATTGGTGGCAAGTTTTGATACCTTTTTTATAATATTTTCTCGTAAGTTCTTGTAGTATATAACGATTACCGTGCGCGTGTTAGCTCATTTCATGTAGTGAAAAGTAAAAATAAGAATTCTGAATAGTTTTGTATACTAATATTTCTTTCGTAGTCATAACATAAAAACTTATGCAATGTGACTTAACCCTTCCGTGTCTGACTTTTTTCTAGAAATAATCTGCGTCTAATTCACGTTTTACTAAAGATTTTTAGAATTGCTGATTATGAATTTGTAGTAAAAATTTCAAAATTCAGAATAATACCCATAGTTGTAAAATATTTATATAGAAATTATATAGAATACACAAGTCAATATATCCCACCGCATATATTTCATTTCTCACCTTTCGTTTACATGTAAATAACGATAATTACGAATATCGTGTTCTTATATGTATATATATTTATATAATAAATTACACAGTCTGTTTTGTCAAATATTTATTTCTATATACCTTTCCCTTTTTAAATGCAGAATTGTAATTAAAATTTAGCAATATATAGGTTAGGAGCCATTTAAAACCTAACGCACGTCGCTACCATCTCGATCAGCTGATTGAGTGCAAGGCTTGCTGCGGATTTTTTGCCAATTTGCTCTCGTGTCTTGTGCGCAAGTGTTGCTCGGTGTTTGGTGCCTATTTGGTGCTAAGTTATGCGCTACAAAACTTGCGCGGTTTTTACTGCAAATTTACTGCAAGTTGCCCCGCATCAAGCCTTGACGTCAAAACACAATCCTAAAGAGGATACAGTTGCATATGGTTTTGGCATCAAGTTTTGATCGAATTTGCTGCCAATTTGCGCTCAATTTGCACTCATTTTGCTCATTGGGGAAGTACGGGGGACAGGAGGTGCAGAGATGCTTAGGGGAAATATGTAAAAGGGTGTGGATGGGAGAGAGTTGGCCAGAGGAATGGAGCGAGGGAGTGGTAGTGCCGATCAGGAAGAAGGGAGAAGGGAAGAGAGTGGAGGAGTACAGAGGGGTGATTCTGACACAGACAGTATATAAAGTATACACAACAATATTAGTGCAGAGGCTGAGGGAGGAGGTGGAGAGGAAGAAGATACTGCCGGAGAGTCAGGCGGGGTTTAAGAGGGGAAAGGGGAGAATGGACAATATATATGCGTTGAATTATCTAATAAACAGGCAGGTGAAGAGGAGAGATAGGAGGCTGATAGTGCTATTCGTGGATCTCAAGGCAGCTTTGGACTCAGTGAATAGGGAGGTGTTGGGAAAAGTGATGAGGGAAAGGGGAGTAAGAGAAGGACTGGTGAAAAGATGCGAGGATGTGTTAGGGGAGACAAGGAGCAGAATGAGAGTAGGGGGGAGAGAAGGAAAAATATTCTTGACAAGAAGGGGGGGTGAGACAAGAGTGCCCGTTGAGTCCGCTGCTATTTACATTAATAGCGAATATAGATGAGGAGCTGAAGAGAGAGGGGTGGGGGTAAGGCTAGTGGAGGGGAGGGTATATACGCTGGCGTACGCAGATGACCTAGCGATATTGGCGGAAGATGAGGAGGGGATGAAGGGAATGATGGAAAGACTAGAAAGATATTTTGAAAGGAAGGGGTTAGAGGGTTAGAGGTAAACATAGAAAAGACGAAAGTAATGAGGTGCAGGAAGAGTGGAGGGAGATGGAGGAAGGTGGATTGGAGATGGAAAGAGAAGAGAGTGGAGGAGGTGAAGGAATATAAATATTTAGGGTATGTGGTGATGAGGAGTGGAGGGCAGGAGGCATAGGTGAGGGATAGGGAAGGAAGGGAGCGAGGGTAATTGGACAGGTATGGGGAATAGGGGAGCGTCGACCGGGGACCCGTCGCCCTAGGCGGCATGGCAGTCGACGTTCCCCGGGGGGGGGGTCTAGGTAGCGGGCCCGAGATGACACCGGCCGAGGAGGACGAGGGACCTCTGAACAATAGGGGGCCAGATCCTCGGCCGCCTCGGGCCCGCCTCCGGACACGGGGAAGGATCCGGGGGGTTCGGATAGGGTAGGTCCGCGAAAGGACCCGACCCAGAGTGGATCTCCCTGGTCCTCCCTGTGCATCGGACAGGTAAGGAAGGAGGGGAATGGAACACCCAGTTGGGGCTGGGTCCACTTCCCCAAAATCCTCCCCTCCCTGATTAGCAGGGGGATGGTAAGGAGGGAGGGTGGATGTCCCCTCTCTCCTAGGTGACACCAGAAGGCCAACCGGCGGGACAAACCCGCCGGGGACCGCGGCCTGGATTTCCTTGGTGAAACAGGGCGCGGTACACGGAGGCGTGGGGCTCCCTAAGAGCCTTGGGGCCGGGGGGTTGGGGAGGGAATGCGGGAGCAGTTCCCCTGACTCCCCACCCAACGGCCCGACAGGTAGCCATCCCGCAAGGGTTTTAGTCAGTAGGAGTCTGACATAACCCTCGGCCCCCCCAAAGGCCAAGGGTATCCATAATGGATTTCCCCTGCGTGACGAAGAAAAAAAAAGGTATGGGAAATAGGGAAAAGAAGATTTGGAAAGGATTGGGGGAAGAAGATATGGTTGTTTGATAAATTGGTGTGGCTGGTGGTGAGTTATGGGGTTGATATTTGGGGATGAAGAGAGAGCTGAAAAATAAAGAAATTGCAGGAAAGATAGTAGCAGTACCCCTGAGATGGGTACTGAGGGTAGAAAGATGGACGCCAGGGTACATGGTGGGAGAGGAAATGCAGAGGGAACTAATGAGGAGCAGAGCGGGAATAAGAGCGTGGAGGTATGAGAAGAGGTTGGGTGAGGGAAGGGGGGAGATAGCAAGAATGTGTTGGATGGAGATGAGGGGTAGGGCGAGGAGAGGAAAAGAAGTAGGGAGATGGGAGGAGGAGCAGAAAAAGTTTTTTGAGGGCAGAGGGTGGAAAATAGACAGGATAGAAGAGATAAGGGAAAAAGGAGGGAAAATAAAGGGGGAGGAACTAAAGAGCAGGGAAAGCAGAAGACAGGAGGAGGAAAGATGGGAAAAGATAAGGGAGTCAAGATTCAATGAGGGATATGGAAGGGTGAAGGGAAGGGGAATACCAAAGTATTTAAAGAAGGGTTGGGGGGAAAATAGATGGAGGAAGATAGCGAGGTTTAGGCTGGGATGCGAATTGAAGGGAGGTAAGTACTGGGAGGAAGAGGAAAAAAGGAGATGCAGGATGCGTGGGGGAAGAGAGGAGACGTGGAAGCACATATGGGAGGAGTGTACGAGGTGGGGGGAAGAAAAGGGATGGCAGGAAATGGAAGAGGATGTGCTAGGAGAGGAGGGAAGGGGTGGATGAGGGAGGTATAGAAATGGTGGAGAGGGAAGGGGGTGAAGAGGAGGAAGGAGGAGATAGAAAGAGCGGCGGAAACGGAGGTCAAGGTGTGAAAAGAGAGGAATGGAAAGTGAGAGAGAGAGGGAGAGAATGAAAGAGTGGAGGAATGAGAGTATGTGTGCGGAGCGTTCTCTCTCTCGTGCGGACAGAGGATAGTTTGTAAGGATATAGATATAAGAAAATAGAGTGTAAAAGGTAGGGGGAGGGGGAAGAATTGTAATCCCAGGGGGTAGCAATAAAGCTATTATAAACGTAATATATCAGTAATATTTCTGTAATATTGTACTGTAATATGTAATATTAGTGTATATTATAGTCTAACTATGATATTTGTGTAATATTATGTGATATGTGGGTTGTATATGTGCCTGGACAAAATTAATCTAATAGCAGGGTCATATTTAAATTTAATTTAAATGCATATTAAGAACATATTTGAATTTAATTACTTTTTAATTTAATATTTCGTTTTCGTTTGAATTTAGCTTGCTTCATACAAAGGATAAATATAAACTATATTTAAAATATATTTAATTGTTTTCCACAGAATGTTATTGGGTGAGTGCAAAAGTTCGTGCGCAGTTTGTGAGTAAAAGTCACACAGTGATTAGGCAAACAAAAATCTTTATTCAATCAATGATATATTCTTCATCGTTTTCTATAATCTTTTCCCAACGTTCTGGCAGCATACGGATGCCTCGATCATAAAAACTGCGCGGTTTAGATTCGAAGAACGAAGAGACGCCGTTTTTTAAGGCCTCCAAAGAGTCAAAGTTTTTTCCATTTAAATAATTTTGCAATGACCGGAACAAGTGATAGTCAGATGGTGCGATATCAGGAGAATACGGTGGATGCGTTAAGACATCCCATTTCAGGCTCTTCAGTTTGCGCAGCGTCTTTTTCGAAACGTGTGTCGTTGGTCTGGCGTTGTCGTGATGAAAGACGACTCCCTTGCGATTTGACAAAATCGGACGTTTCTCTTTTATTTCTCGATTCAGATTGGTTAATTGGCGACAGTACTTGTCCGAATCAATCGTTTCGCCAGCGGGGAGAAGCTCGAAATAGATTATGCCCTTGCAATCCCACCAAACAGAGAGCATCACCTTCATCGGGTGCAAACTGGCCTTTGGCATTGCGTCACCATGCTCACCTGATTGTTTCCATGTCCGTTTGCGCTGAACATTGTTGTAGAGGACCCATTTCTCATCGCCCGTCACTAGTCGATCCAAAAACGACTCGTTATTGAGCCGCCCGAGTAAAGAAACGGCTGCAGAATTTCGCTTGATTTTGTTCTTCTCGGTCAGCAAATGGGGCACCCATATATCAAGCTTCAAATCGAATCCCAT